CAAAAATAAATTAAATTACCCTTTCACACATTACAAGCATAATAAAACTCATTAGTATATACTACAAATGTGGAAATAATTACATCCTCCAAAATTTTCATGAATCATGATTTTCAACCTTATGAACTAAATACCCCTCTCCCTTATGAATGTATTCGCCTATTTCCTTTGATAATCTTATTTTTACCTTTTTGTAATCCATTATATTCCATTCACTTATAGTAACTAAATGAGAACTATGCTTATGAAATTCTCTTCTTCTTAGGCTTGTCCTTTTTATGGGGAAAAAAAAAGACAATGGCATGCTTGGAATTAGGTTCTTGCATGGTGACCATTTATGATGCTTTTCCCTCTTGCATTTTTATAAACAAGTTAATAATATAACATAACAAGTGGGCTTAATATATGTGAAAGGATATGAGGCTCACTTTGACTTCTTAGTACACTTTTTAAATATGAATCAACTATCATATATTACTAGATACCTTGGGAATCTTGTTTATAAGATGTATGTTTTTGCACGTACTCCCATAAAATTTGATCTAGATACTTTATCCTATAATATTTTACTAATTTATTTTTAGTTAGAATAAAAAATCCAGATTAAAAATTGAAGATGTTACATTTTGGGTCTTTCAAGGTGCAATTAATGTGACTTTTCAAAAACATCTTTAATTAGGAGTCCAATTAATAAGGTTTTATAATTAAGACATTTTATTAAATAAAGGTAAACATAGAAAGAGTGTATAAATTTTTTTGAATGATGCATGATACTATATTCCCAAAGGAAAACCAAGAATAATCAGTTCACATTTAGAAGGAGTAATTTTTTTTAAGAAATGAAGATTTTATCTAATATTTTTTTTAGAAATGGGAAATAGTTACTTGTAACACCCTCAAATTTACAAACCGATTTTTCGCAAATTATTAATTCAATAAATTATTTTTTTTCATTGAACCCTTATCATACCCTTATCATGGTAGAAAAATTTCTACCATGATACATCCAAGACAATATATCACAGGTCTTAAAATATCTCAAAAAGCAATTAGAACCATGAGGGACAGACAGGATCCTCATGTCATGATATTCAAATCAGATCATAAATCAAGAGGGACAGATATAATCCTCTTGGTCATATAAATACTTTTAATAAAAAGGATTAGAGTTTACATGCTTCACAAAAAAGATATGTCCTAAGTTGGCACAAGATACATTGTATAATCTAAAATAAGAGGCAACGTAAAAGATGGTGTCTCATACACCATAGTTACACCTCTGGTACTTTCTCGGCCGGACTCGCTCCTGTAAAAATATTAACCACGGGGAATGAGACTTAAAAGTCTCAATAACCAAAAATTAATATGTAATGATGCATGTGGATGTAACTAATCATGCGATTGCTAAGTGGGCACACAAAACATTTAACCGAACAATACTTTCAAACAAACCGAACAAGTATTTAATTTGCATGACTGCACCTTATATCCTCCTTTCGCCATGCTCGGACGCCAAATCACCCGGCCAAAGGTGAGTTGGACCAAGCGACACGCCACTCATTGGGTCCAATGAGGGCTTACCACGTGGTAATAATTAACCGAATAAAAATTTCCATTAACACCATACATTAAATACCCTGACAAGTCATGCATCATTCAAATATCCAAATAGGAATATATCCGAACAATAATATCTCATCATGATAAATAAAAATAAATTTTTAACCCACTTGGCAATAATTTTAAACAAGTATATACAGTATTTATTTTTAATAATTCATAATTTTTCCAAACAATAAAACAACATATAACCATTCACAAACATACCCATCACAACACATTAATAATGGTTACCTTGTATCTTGAATAACAAGTTTCCCTTCACAACTCCTTTTTCACCACTATCTTTGTCAATATAATCTACATAATTATTTCACAATACTATATATTAATTTTACATTAAAATAAATAACTCTAATTTAAATAGTTAGAAAGTCTTAGATCTATAATCCATATTAACACTGATTTAAGATTGATGCCTCATTTAACTTCCCAAATTCTTTTCTAAAATTCTCGTACCCTAATAAACTATTTTTTTTATCCTCAAATCACTTCTTATCACAATTTCATCCTTCTATATTCTAAAAATTTGTCCAAAAATAAATTAAATTTTAAAATTATCCTGAAGCCTCAAATCACCTTTCTATAACCTCAAAAATACCTATTCATACTTAAATAAATATTTAATAATCATAGGTTTATTCCTACATATCAGATTTCACATAAATTCAACCATATAGATCTAGATTTTAACTCAAAAATTCTTAAATATGAGTTTCAACCTCAAGAAAATATTCTATAATATTTATTATATCCCTAAGAGTTTTAACCTATATTTTTAATCCATCATATCATCAGATTAACTATCCTATAGGAAAGTCCTAATCAAAATATTTACTCTATCCTACAAAATAATCATATCACTAGAAAGCTAATATTATTTAGAAAATAACTATAAAATTAATTTTGTAATTAAATAAATTTTTAAATATTAATCTAAACAGGAAAGTCAGAACATATCTGAAAAAAAGAAAATAATCCCCCCTTGCGAGAAAACGCCGAGCAACGTGAGAGGAAAAGAGAAAATAATATAAAAATGAGATTGTGAGTCCCAAAATTATATTAAAAAAAACTATGGGTTTGAATTTAATTATTCAAACCTTTGGGCCAAAAGTTACAATTTCCTCTAAATTACATCTTAGCCTCTCATGCTTCCTAATGCACACACCCCCTCCTTTTTATACATGAAGTCATCTCTTCTCTTCCCTCATCTAACCAATATGAGACTTAGAAACAACAACCTTCCACCCCCTTTTTTTGGTTCCTTCTACCTTCTCTTTTTTTTTTAACACACACATAAAAAAAATTATTTATGTATTATATCTTAACTAAATATTGCTTATGTGGTTTTAAATTTAAATTTTTAAATTCATAATTAAATACCTAATCATAATATTATTTCTATATAACCTCAAATAATATAAATTCTTATTATTATCATTTTTTTTCTCAAAACCTAAATTCCATAATTTCTTTATTATATAAAAATTAGGATGTTACATTACTAACGTCAAAAAAGGATATTTACAACCAAGCATGTACAGAATCTTAAAAGGGGCTGTGTTTTTCATGTGTATAGATAATGCCATTTAATATAAATTGTATATGTTACGTTAATATTGGTAACACACTGATGATTTTTACATGGCTGCAAAGGGTGACGAGGCATCAACACTAAATAGTGCAATTTTTTATAGGAAGCAAACTATACACAATGCATTTAGTCAAAAACAAAAAAGTATCCACGGGAATGAATGATATAATTTATTTCTATTTTTTCTTTTATTATTCCCTCAAAAAAGTGGCAGAAATAATGTTTTAATTATTTTTGTAGGTTTTTATAATTCTCCTTTTCACACATTATAACGGTAACATGGCGGCGTTATGGCGTGCGGCTCAATTTCTCAAAGCCTGTATCCGCATCGTTGCTCGGGTCGCATGCATGCGTGCATGAATATAATTTTTGGAAGAATTTCATCTGACAACTATAGATGTGGCATATTTTTAAGTCAAGCTTAAAATATTTTAAAATTTCACTGCCCTTTTGCAGCATGTTACAAGTAACAAGTAGCACAAAAGAGTTTACAAATAAAGTAAAATATACAAAGGAATTAATAAGTAAAGTAAAATACTTAATAAGTTATGTACTTGATTAACGGTGAAGCCACATTACATTGAGAATTTAAAAAAATTATAAATAAGGTAGGTAAATTTTACAACTTTGCAACCTTTACTTTTAATATATTTTGCACCTTTTAGATTAATTAAAAAAATACTTGAGCTTCAAAACTTATTAGATGTATGATATTTTAATGATCTATATGAGATATAAAAAATATATTTATAACAAAAAACCATATTAACGAGATCAATATAATTTTTTTAAATGATTAATCTATCTATGTTATTAAAATTTTAGTCTTAACATAATTATTATTTTAACTATTAAACTATTACTTTTAAAAAATATTTTTTAAGTCCATTCAGTAATTTAGATTTATAACTTGTTAAACTGTTATCATTACTTACAAAATCAATCATATTACTTGTTAATTTCCTTGCAACTAATATGATTGCTAGTACATAAGAAGACTTGTTAATTTTATAATATTCTTTATCTATTCTCTTGTATTACTTGTTAATTCCATAATTTTATTTATAAAATTTATGTAACTAAGTTAAATCTATTACTTATTAATTTGTTAGCATAACTTGTAAAATTAACTACATTACTTGTCAACTACTTTATTTTATTTATTAATTTTTTTATATTACTTGTTTTGGTGCAACATATTATTGAAATAAAGATATTTTGATCATTTTATTTCATAATATTATATAAATTTAAGCCCAACATATTGCAATAAAATTTATGTTGAGCATGTTTAGCAATTTATTTTGAAAACATTTTTCTATTCTTTAAAACAGAAAAAATAAAAAATATATTTGATAACATATTTTTAAAAAGTATTTTAGAGAATAAAAATAAAATATTACTATAAAAAATAAAAAATATTTTTTAGGTATTCTCAGATTATTATTTTAGAAAATAAAAAAATACTCATTTTTATTATTTTTTATTCTTACAAAATATTTTATAGAATATTAATTCTCAAAATAACAAAGCAAAAATAATTTTAAATGGGCTCAAAATTGTTGATTTTTTTTCTTTTAACTGAATTGACTTTGTTTTCTGGAGTCTCCGTGGATTTTTTTTTTTTTTTTAAATTTGCCCAAAACGTGCGCTAGTCTCGATTCTTGAAGCCCAACTCCATCTCTAGTCTGTTGTTACCGACATCACAGTGATGATTTCATCTCTAGCCTTATCGTTTTCATGATCCAAGATCCAGCAACGCATTCAATTCCATTCCATTTTTTGTGTTGAATGTTTCTGATTGATGATTCCTCCAGGTTTCTGAATGTGAAGCCCCAAAATCACATCAGCTCACTAATCACTAGCCCTAATTTTCAATGCCGATCACCAAACACATCTAACCTCGCTCTGTGCTTCGATGGTTGTGAGTTGTGACTGTGAACCCGTGACATATCCACTATGATCATCCCAGATTGGCCATTTTTGAAAGCGCCAAGCACGTCCAACTTCTCCCCCGTGACCATGATCATTGATTTTCCCACTAAATTCCTACTTTCCAACATACCCATCAATTCGTCCTCTTTTATTGCCTATAAATTCCCCAGCTTTACCCTTCCACTATGACCACTCCTCCCAGGAATCCTCATTCCTCATTCCTTCTCCCAAAATCAACCTTCCTTCTTTTTTCCATGGCTTCTCTTCTTTCTCTCTCCCTTCTCTCCCTCTTCCTCTTCCTTTCTCTCTCCTCCGCCGCTCGCCACCACCGCAAACCCCCCGCCACCTCCCCCTCCTCATCCTCTACCGTTTTCGTCCAGAACGCCTGCAAGGCCACCCGCTTCCCTGAACAATGCCAGTCTTCCCTCAAAAACGTCCCTTCCGACCCCACTCCAGTTCAAATCCTCCAGTCCGCCATGGCTGTGTCCTCGGAGAACCTCAAGACTGCGCAATCCATGGTCAAGTCCATCCTCGACTCATCCGCTTCCAGTATCAACCGCACCACCGCTTGCAAGGTCTGCATCGATGTGCTCCGTTGCTCCGACTACCGCATCGGTCTCGCCAATGACGTGCTGCCGCGTGGCAGGCTCAAGGACGCTCGCGCGTGGATGAGCGCCGCGCTGCTTACCAGTACGATTGCTGGTCCGCTTTGAAGTACGCCAACGACACTCGCCAGGTCGGTGAGGCGATGGCATTCTTGGACTCCCTCACTAGGATCACCAGTAACTCGTTGAGCATGATGGCGTCGTACGACATCGTTGGAAATGACACCGCGTCGTGGAGGCCACCCTTGACGGAACGTGACGGGTTCTGGGAAGGATCCAGGTCGGGATCCGGATCGTTGGGTTTCAGGGGCGGGTTTCCAGCGAAAGTAAAGCCGGATGTTACGGTGTGTAAGAATGGAGGGAATGGGTGTTACAAGACGGTGCAGGAGGCTGTTAACGCTGCTCCCGATAACGCCGGCGACAAGAAATTTGTGATATACATAAAGGAAGGTGTTTATGAAGAGACTGTTAGGGTTCCGTTGGAGAAGAAGAATGTGGTGTTTTATGGGGACGGAATGGGGAAGACCGTCATCACAGGGTCTGCTCAGGCGGATCAACCCGGAATGACGACCTACCTATCAGCTACTGTTGGTGAGTTCAATGTTTCAACTTTCAATTGGAAGTCTCATTTTCATCTCATTTTTTATAGAATAAAGAAACTTGTTTTTATACTCGGATTTTGCTTTTTGATGCTAAGGGGAATATCATATTCTGCCTGTGTTTTTGGATTTTGATATTAATCAGAGTATTATTGATCTACCAGAAAAAAAGGATAAATAAATAAATAAATTTTTGGAAGTTTCCTTCTGAAGATTTTGGATTCTGTGGCTAGCTTGTGCACTTTCCTGAGCTCACTTTTGTGTGATAATGGCTAGAAATTCTTTTGTCGTGATATTGCCCACTAACCTAGATATGATTTCTTTTTCTGGCTGTGAATTTCAATTGATTCGTTCTGAGAAGCCTTTTTCTGTTGCAAGAGCAAGGGGTTTGTCGGATTATGTGAAGAATATCTTGTTTTGATCTATTTGAGTTCTTCCTATATTATGATCATGGATCGGGAAGATGAAGACATGCGTGATTAATGGAATTACAATTGTCATTTTAACAATAGACTTTAATTGTTTTGGCAGCTGTTCTTGGTGATGGATTCATGGCCAAGGCTCTGACAATCCAGAACACAGCAGGCCCTGTTGCTCATCAAGCAGTGGCCTTAAGATCAGGCAGCGATTTCTCTGTGTACGAGGAATGCGAATTCATAGGCAATCAGGACACCCTCTATGCTCACTCCCTTCGCCAATTTTACAAATCATGCCGCATCCTGGGCAATGTAGACTTCATCTTTGGGAACTCAGCTTCCATCTTCCAAGATTGCCAGATCCTGGTCCGGCCCCGGCAAGTGAAGCCGGAGAGCGGCGAGAACAATGCCGTGACTGCACATGGCAGAACAGACCCTGCTCAAACCACAGGCTTTGTTTTCCAGAACTGCTTGATAAATGGGACCAAGGAGTACATGGATTTGTACCGTAGCAAGCCTCAGAAGCACAAGAACTTCTTGGGGAGGCCATGGAAGGAGTACTCAAGAACAGTGTTCATTAACTCTTTCTTGGAAGCTCTGATATCACCCACGGGCTGGATGCCATGGGGCGGTGGCTTTGCACTGAAGACGCTATACTATGGAGAATATGCCAACACAGGACCTGGTTCTGATTTGAGTCAGAGAGTACCCTGGAGCAGCAAGGTCCCACCAGAGCACGTGTCTGCTTATTCAGTTCAGAATTTCATCCAAGGAGATGAGTGGATTGCATCATCTCTGATTAGCTCGTTAGATTTGTCATAGAGACATAGAAGGACTGAAGGAGGCATCTCTCTGAATGAATTGCTTCGATCTTGTTCTTGGCATGACTTTTTTTTTTTATAAAGAAAATAATGATTAGTAAAATATATATTAACTGATACAACTTAGTATATCTGGAGCGGAATGCCTTAGTATATGATATGAGATTCAGACTTTACCATGTGTCCATGTTGGTCCGGCCATATGACCTAGGTATTAGTGTGGCCCTGCTATAACTAACAAGTAGATAGAACTAATGCGTGTGTATATATGTTAACAGGAGTTAGTATTTGATGAAAGTGAGTTTGATTTGATCATTTGAATTCATGTAATAAGCTTGAGAGGGAGGGCGCCAGAGTCCACAAAGTAAGTGGCATGATGTGGAATCCAATCTATCATGAAATAGAAGAGTTGACAAAAAGCTGGTTAGCATTGCAGATTAGGTACATAAGTAGTTGTTGTGGAGTAACCGCCCCATTTGGGCCTTATTTTATTTTTTCGGTCGTCTCAGCTTCACTTCTGGTCTCAAACAAGTAAAAGAACTAGTCATGTTATAATATTATATCGAAAATTGTATCAAATTAGGTTGTTGAACTGATAAATTATTGAATAGGTAGTATGTTAACTGGTTCAATAAAATGTTTTGGTTATGATTGGTTTGATCATAATTTAATTATAATTTTAATTATTAACTTTTAAATTAGTATTTGAATAGTTCAATTTTCAATCTTGCATGTTATTAGGTAGATTTGTTCAACCTCCACATGCTTTGTTTTTTGTCTACGACAAAGTTCTCTCTCCTCAAATTAAATTGAACTGCCCTCTTTAATTTCAAACTGACTCTGGTGCGTGTAATATTGTATAGTCTAAAATAAGTCAGACAGTCTATGATTTATAAATAATGATGCTCCCTATAAATTTAATTAGTGAGGAACATAATCTTCAATTGCATTAGTGCCGTGTTTTATTTGGTCATTTTATGGTGGCATGGGATTTGCTTCCCCCTCCCCAAAATTTATAGAAGCATTAGATAAGAACGTACGATTTATCGTTGTTTGATCAAGAGTTTTAAGAAAATATCATCCACAAAAACAAACCATGTTGGTCATGCTAGAATGGTCCATAATCTTTTTCATAGATTTTGCATAAACGAAGAATGATATGATCACTAACGTAATAACAACTGAGAAGATACAAGGGGCAAAAGAAGGAGAAAAGAGGACCCATTGATGTTGTGGGAAGCAATTATAATTATGGTTTTGTGGATGGATGAGTGTGGAGTGTAAGCAGAGGACAAGCAAAAGGGAGTGAAGTGTTACGAGTAATGATAATACGAAGGCGTCACGCAATCCCTTGTAGCATGAGATAGAATACGAGTGAGATGACAAAAAGAGCAATTGATTCCTTGCTTTCCGACTTGTAATCAGGAGCATGCAAATCATTACATTTAAGTAATTGTAGAATTGTTTGGCCAAAAAAAAATTAAGGGCAGAATTAGCGGGGAAGACAGGGAGTATAGATTTTTTTTTTTGGAATAAAAGCATATTTTTGCAATTAAAATATTTTTTGAAAAGTGCTTAGCACCCCAAATTATTTGTTGAAATAATTTTTTTTCTTAAAGTAATTAAAACAAAATATTTTCACCTTGTCATTAAATTTTTAAAGTTAATCGTAAAAAATTTTAATTGAAACTCCAACATTGATAATTAAAAAATTTTATGAAAATGATCAAAATTATTTTAACAAATAATTTGAAACATTAGGTATTTTTAAAAGAATACTTCAAGTATAAAATACACTTTTATCCTTTCTTTTTTAATACAAAAAAATTATATGAGTTGAGTCAGAAAATTCAATACATTTCCCGGTTCAAAAAGACGGATTGGGTAGAGTGTGGGAGAAAGTGGCGCAATCAGTGCTCAGAAGTGACCGCCCCATTTGGACCTCTTTTTATATCTCAACTTCTGACTGGATCACTGGATAGTCATGTTCGCCACTAATTTTTTTTAAAACTTTTTTGGTCAAAATGGTCCCCACCAAGTTTAGAAAAGAGTCTCCATGTTCTGCGTTTGTGCAACCTCCACATGCCTTGCCCTTTTTTTAAAATGGAATTTTTTTTTGGTAGTTTCTTGAATTTTTTTAATATTCTAACTTAAATATTAAAAAAATTAAAAAAGGCAGAAGTTCCTTTTCAATTATTTTAATATTATAAATTTTTAGTGAGTTCTCATAATTTTGCAACAATACTTCATTATACATAGACTCTTTTTTTTAAAAAAAAAATATAATTTGTAGTTTAATATTTTTTCTTAAAAAATCAAATTAGTTACAAAAAATATACATCATGAAATTCATGTAATTACCTGTATGTATACCTCGCTCTAAATTTGATTGTAAGTTATATTACACAAACAACACTTTGCCAATCTAACACTGACTATTGAGAAAAATGCATTATCTTTTATCCTAACTTAATTTACAAACGTGAGTTTATTTTAATTTTTTTGCAACTTCTAATCCGAACACAACCTGCGATAAGAATAATGTGATTTTGCACGTTGTTGAGCCCAACGCTGATTTGCAAGCAAAAGCATCGCAGTGCGTAGGAACGAAGGAAACGGTCTCCTTCTCAACATCATAGCTCACCAACACCTTCTGCTGTTGTACGTTGACCCGCTCGAAGCTCTCATGGCCAAGCAAGCCACGTTACATGGTTCTGCCTAGGAAGCTCCAAATCTGCACATCTCAAATGGAACAGAGCACGTACTTGCTGCATAATCATCCATGCATGGAAGATCAACATAGGTGACATCAAAGACTGAGGCCCACAACTTCACCCACTAAGCCCAATGCCTGATCAAGGCTGGCCTGATGGGCCTGGAGGTAGAAGATGAAGGATGAACTTGGAAAATTAACTTGTCTCTTATGTGTGTTTCTAATCTGCTTCAGCCCGTATCTGTTTCCTTATTTCTAAGTAGGCTTTAGCCTGTTAGGCCCAAGTTGTTGTGGTTGTGTCTTTTTAACTGGTTAATGATATGCATCTTGTTATCCACAAAATAACAATAATCATTAACCAACGGAGGCTAGGTAGAGTTGACAAGAGTTATTACCGGTATTTTTCAGGGTGAAGGTTCGAATCTTAAGAAGTGACAGACGTGATAATTAACGCAATTTTAAAGAGGTTGTCCCATTGATATCTTACTATTACTATAAGGCCTCCTCGAGGGAGTTTAAATTAGTCTAGGATGAACAATGAACTTAAAATACTCAGGATACTGGATGGTTTATATCTAAAAAAATAATAATAATAACCATTAACGATAGTGTGATAAAAAAGATCATTTTTTTCTTGCAGGCACCGAACGTCCCCCAACATTGAAAGATATTGAACGTGGATTTAGATTTATTAAAGTTAAAAGGAGAGAGAAATCTGGAGAATTAAAATCCCAAAGAAAATCAAGTTCTTCCTTTGGAGAATTCTTTCGAAGGCACTCCCATCTTTTGAAAGCTTAAGAAAAGAACGGTTGTTGTTACTCTGATTTTATGCCCTTTGTGTGGAGAGCACAGTGAATCTCTTGAACACGTTTTTACTTTGCAATTAGGTGAAGACTGTTTAGTCTGGTTGTTCTTTCACTTTTCTTGTTAATGAACATGATGTTTCTTCTATTCAAAACTTTTTTTTTTTTTTTCAATTTGAAGTTGAGTGATTGGCTAAAAGCTACTGTAGCTACTACTACTCTGGCAAATATGGATTTATGAATTCCGGGAGGCTAATGGTTTATTTAAAGAAAATTGATTAACCTCAAAAGATATCCCGACATATTCAATGGTTGAGTTGTAATTTCTTTCTGTTTCTGTTATTTCTAATTCATGGCCGGTGCAGTACTGTGCTGATGATGCATTTATTAATACAAATATTTTCACGGGCAAAAAAAAAAAAAAAGATTAAACTGAAGGATAAGGAGAATCTCCCTGATCCTTTTTTTCCTATAGAAGGTTTAACAGTCAACAAAATTAGAAAATGAAACTGATGACAGGTCATAAACCAGAAAGAGAAGCTTTGGTAGTAGAAATTGCAGGTGGTGTTGGATTATAATAAGACTCGACATCTGTCCAGTTCGTCTCTCCCCAATGCCTCAACATGCTCTTCCAGTTACACACATTATCTATACACTTCTTCAATCTCCAATCGTTCACCTTAATTCTCCAATGTCCATCTGTATAGTTTGCTTTCTCAGCTTCCCTTCTATCCCACTCTAACTGTGCCTTCTGCTTCGATTGAAGCAGGCAAAATTGCTGCAACACGTCAGGCATGGCATCATGAATCCTCCACCACCTTTCATGAGCCACGTCGCTTGCGAACTCGTGAAAAATATCGAAGTTCCAGTTGCAATCATAGTCCCTGAAGCACAGCCATGGCTTCATTCCCAGATAGTGAAGCACATATAGGATTGGAGGGTCTGCTCCAAACAGCATTGTCTTCATTTGCTTCTTCTCTTCCTCATCACCAACCCAGAAATGCTTCAAGAAGTTCATGTGCCTTGGTATCCTGTGCCACCATGTGAATATCTCATTCAAATATCCCTGATCTCCTCCATTGTAGGACTCAATCTCGTTGATATGATCCATCAGAAGCTGGAATGTGCAATTTGATGGCTCAACCACCATGACACCTGAGTTAAAGAGTGTGGCATTGTTTCCCGTGGCTGTAATTTCTGGCATTCCAAACAGAAAATCTATGTTTCTCAGTATGAGCAAGTCTGCATCGATGAATATGATCTTGTCATAGTCTGTAAGCTGCCATAATCTGAATTTGCTGTAGTTCCATTCATTGTATGCATCTTTCTCAGCTTTTGGGTTTCTGATCCTCTGAATTATTCTTACTTTCCATCCTGCTGCTTCTAAACCACTTCTGTGATATCCACTTATAGTCTCATCAACAAGTATCACAAGGTCTCTGGTTGATCCAGACATGCGAATACTTTGTGCTGCGGCTATAGCACCACACACATAAACATGAGCTGAGTGAAGGATTGTTGCATAGGCTTCTCTGTGAACATTCCCAGCATATACCAGCTCTGCTTCAAATGAATTCAAGCCAAAAAAACGAAGGTCAAGTTCCTTAGTGTTTTACTAACTCATAAGGAAACCTAATCACAGGCTCTTAACTCTATAGAATATCCAATCGTCATTATCTTGCTGAAGAATCTTATAACAAGAACCTAAAAAATGTATCTAAGTTTTCTCATTCAACTCCAACAATGTCATGCCAGCTTTATGTAAGAAAATGGGAAAAATAAAACTTTGTTCCATCTACAACGTGAGTTCCTGTATTTTTAAATATGAACACAAGACTGTAATGGAGGCTAATGTGAACATAAACTTAGTTACTTCTCTTGTTGACTCGTTAAACTTATTATAAGTTGTATAAAAAATTTTACTCTATCAGAATTAATAGAGTCACGTACATAGTAGCATATTTAACTCGGTTACAGTCAACATAATTTTATCAACTCGGCAAGAGAATTAACAAAATTATATACACATTAGCAACTTTAACTATATGCTAGTGACAATAAGGACTAATATTATGAACAGATGAAACTTAAGGGACAAGGAGCAATGAAAAAAAGTATTGGACCTAATATCAAAATATGCTAAAAATATAGAAAATTGTGGTTCTAAAACTGAAGCAGTAGTAAAAGAACTGACCTTTACCCCTCATGGAAAGTGCAAGTTCACAAGATCCTGCTGGAAGCTGAACTTTTTGTCTCAAGACACTCAAGTTTGGCCTGTATAGCCATGCATTCCCTTCATGTGCAACAAGTTCATTGCAGGTAAAGAGATTTGGCATTGGAAAGCAATTGGTAATGAAGAGCACATGCACGGTGTAATTGCCTTTGAAAGAGGCTGCAAGCCCTGCTGCAGCAAGCAGCAGGTGAAGCCTACCAACATCTCTGGACCAATTCGAATTTTTGGCCCTGTGACAAGGGAGCTTCACAGCTATGAGATTAAGCCTTGTTCCAGGAGACCTGAGGCTTGGTAGAGAGGGACAAATTGGGACTTCAGTTTCCTCTTCCTCATCAATCCATTCTGGGTATAGGGACTCCCACGTGACATTTTTTGCAGCATACTCAAGATGCAACACTATGTGCCTAGAGTCAGGCATAAGTTTCTCCCATTTCTCTACTTCAGTGTTGTTGAAGTTCAGAAGACCAACCCCTTGCAGTTCATTTTTCGCTGTCACCTTCATTGAAACTGCCAATATATCATTCCAATCAATGTCCTCATTCGATATATACCGATTATCTGAGCCACCCCATATCCACCTAATCACAAAGTAAATTTGGCATGAAAAGGGAAAAGATATGTAAATTTGTTGATATAGCTTATATTATGAATCTGCTGAGAAATACATACCCAGAACCTGAGCTTGATAAGTGGTTAGTGTTATAAACTTCTGGAGCGTAGATAAGTGTCACAAAAGTGCCAGAAATGGTTAGTAATAAGATGAGTTTTAAGAGAGAAAACTTGCATCTTGAGCTCTTATCTTGGCTTGTTAAATGGAATGGCTTCTCCACATCTTTCGTCTTATTTCTCGGCAATCTTCGTTTCAAGTCTTCACTGATCCACATGAATAAACGTAGACGAAGCAATCATTATATTATATTACATTTAAACTGTTTATGGATTTTGCTTCTCTCATAAATAGACTTTCTCCAAAACAGAGGCAATTCAGATTAATACATATTCTAATCTGAAATCTCCATTTGATACTGACAAGTCCAGTTAAAGTGTATAATAATTTGATGTATCTTGGAGTACTTGAGAGGTGAGATTATATGATATGAAAGTGGTTGGGTTGAGTTCCTTCGAATGTAAATGACAAACATTTTGAGATGAAACGTCATTGTCATTTCCTGAAATTATGAGATATTATAAGGTTGCAATAAAAGCCAACTTTCTGAAGCCCCCTTCTGCTGCTAAGACAGATTGAACAAAACTAAGAAATCCTCTCAAGTTAAATCCTACAACAGCCACCAGATTTGAGAATCAGGCATGAAAAATAAATTTCATTTACAACATAAGCAAAACAAGCACGATTGCCCGAGAAGGAAGTCTAAAAGCTCAATCTAAAACAAACGGAACTTGATGTAATAGTGTTATAAACACAAGTTTAAAAGGGAGAGTTTTGAAAGCTAACATCTAGCCCTCTGTGTGAGATTTGCCTTTCAATGAAAGCACTAATTTTACGAGTACAAATTTAAAGAAAAAGTTTATCTCAAAAAATTAAAATATTAAATATATAAGCCCTTTAAATTTATAATCTTACCTTTTTTTATGAGGTTTTCTAACATGGGACTCGCAATAAAAATACTTAAAACTTCAAATGCAACATATATTAATGGTAGAGAGCAACACATACAAATAAAGTTAATAGGTTTTTAGTGATTGTAGATTTATATTACGAAGCATAAGATATTAAATAGTGAACTGTTCAAGTTTAGTGTATCAAGATGATGAATGTGATGAAACATAAATAGTTTGGCAGAATGAATGTGAAGGAGGAGGAGGAACTGACATGGAAGTAGGTAAACGGTGTCTAGCTTCAACGGCATGCGTCGAATGACCCATCGTGGCTCTCATATTAACTAGTCAGCCAGTGGGGCATGCAGCATCTGATCTGCACAATGGCCAAACCAAAAAATAAAGCCATGAATATTCAACAACAAATTAAATCTGAATTCTCATGCTGATGAGGTTTGGCTCATGTTACTAAGGGAGCCATATGTTGAGAAATAAACAACATCAAAACATAAATGGTACTTGGAAGAGATCATAGTCTAAGAAGCTGCCAATATCATTTTCATGAGAAGAGGATATGAAGCTGGAGAACCGATTAGAGAGCTTGAAGTACAACTGAACCCAGAAAATCTGGAAACGAGATGAGGAAAATGTAGATAAAGGGACACCTGTTGGCTTTTTGGAAGGGACAATTGATGGCATAGTTTGAGGGACTTCGAGTCAATATAGACAGGCAAGCAAGCTGAATCTGTAGCTTCTTTTGCAAATTTTCCTTCATCTTTCAGTTTCATTCTAGTTCTCACCTACTCTCTCTCTCTCTCACACACACATATTTCTCTATATTTGTTATTATAATTCATAAATTCTCCTTCATTTTGCATGATTGACGATAATCCTTTCTTTTCTTTTTATTGGTCAAGCTATCGAGCGCCGCTTCGAGTATAAAGCCATGTTTACAATGATAAAATATTTTACGTTATTTAGGAAGCCAATTATCATGCAAGATTTCACCGTTATATGAAGTCTGGAATCTTTCTGTCAGAATTGTTCACACACACACACAAATCATCACAGTTTAATACTTAAGGTGAGCCCTCTTTGCCCTTTTCTTGGTATGCAAAAATGAGAAAATGAGTTTAATTAACTCACCCTTTGATTAATGAAAATTACCATTAATTAATCAATATTTGTTTTCTGGTGGGACGTTGAGGAGTGACACTTCAAAAATGAAATATAAAATCTTGAAAACAATTGATTAGTAAGAGTGGTTGATCGAGATTAGGTTAATGAAAACAATTGTTACATTTGATTTAGAGTAAAGATAACCCCATATCTCAATCCAATGTCCATTTCCATATGGGGAATCTTAACCCCATTATATTTTTTCCATTCCAAAAATAATTTCCCTAAAAAGGGCAGATTAGTGTCAGTGTTTTTACTTTTAAATTTTACCTTCATCAGACTTTGATCTCCTTCTCTGAATTATTCCCAAAGTTAATTCTAATTCCAAACAAGCAGTTGAAGTATCTTGTCAATAGAATTCTGTGTATGTAGTGCTAGTGAAGTTCATCTGCATTTGAAGAGACTAAGTGATGACATCTGGCACCTAAATTAGCTTACAAAGACAAATCCAAAGAACAGATTTATATTCTTTGATGTTTCTCATAGTTATGGCAAAGAGTGCACATAATTAATCAGCTTATAAATTGATTGATATTGGTTTAAGTGTCCATTCATTTACTGTTTCACCAAACCAATGGGCTAAGAATTCCAAGAACCTCATCAAAACCACAATAAAAATGTTCATCAACTGATTTTTTTATTTAAAAAAATGATATCTTATCTATCAACAAAGGAACATTGCACCAGTTGGCCACTCCTGTTCCCATCTAACTTCTATATTTTTATTTTTGCCTTTTAGTCTTGGCCCTTAAGTCAAGACTTATACCTAAGAGCCAAAAAAATTATCTTGACTGGAAAAACCCCATTAGAAGAAGATAATTCAAAATTAGATCCTTTGTATGCACACACACACACACACACATATATTATAAAATGAATGTTTTGAAGCAGAGGCAGAGCCAAAAAAAAAAAAAAACTCTCATAGCTGAATGGGGTTATATGGTCCAACGGAAGCCTCAAAAGCTGTCGCTACTTGTCCCTGTTACTCTATCCCATGCATTAAAGTTAATAGACAAAAATATATAAATGTGTGTGTGTGTGTGTGTAGTTGAGTCGTTTAGAGATAATATTAGAAATGGAGAGCAGATAATGAAGAGCGTATGTGGATTGAATTGGAAGCAAAGCAAGTGAAAGGGTTACGTATCTCTTTGGGGTTAGCCCTACATGCTCTGAACATGAGCCACATGTTGATATTACTCTTCTATTTCTAAGGTTTAGTCATTTCCTTTTAATTGAGGTTACGACTTGCGAGTTTGATTTTTCTGTGAGTGATGGCTGCTTACCACTTAGTTCACCATGTTCCTTCATTTCTCGTTAATAATAACACAGTAAATCACACAAGATTATTTAATATCATGAAGATATTAGACTTTACAAAACTTTTCTTGAAAACAAAAATTTCCATGGGCAGGATTTGATCCACCTTATGAATTATAGACATAAGGCCTGTTTGTTCAACTTATTTTATAAAAAAAATATTTTATAAGTTTTTATAAGTTTTATTTAAATTTTTTTAAAAAATCATAACATGAAAAAAAAATATTTTTAACTATTTCAAAAATTTATTTTGAGTAACTTTTAAAAATAATATAATACAATAAATGACAAAAAAATATTTAAAAAATGTTAGATACGGGAAGATATTATAAAATTTTAAAATAATTAAATGAATTATTTTTATAAAACAAAATTAAATAATATATAATATAATTAAAAAAATAATTAAGTAATTATCACTTTTTTATTATTGTAACTAAACATAAAATAATATGTTTTTCATAAAAATTTTATAAAATAAATTTTTTTTATAAAAATTTTAAACTATCTAAAAATTATTTATTTTCAAATTTTAAACAAACGATCCCAAGTCCTTGTAGATCAATATTTGTTTGCTTTTCACAATTTTTTAATTATGCACTCTTTTATTTTCCTGAAACGAAAAGCATATTTTATAAGCGTCTAATAAATTTAAATTTTAAAACTTTATTAAAATCACACGTATCTTCTCAGTTTTTCAAACATACTCCGTAAAACACAAATCAAATAAAGGAAGCTTGCGTGAGTTTAACAAAACGGAAGGAAATTCTACATAATTTGCAAGTTATTTTCAAATAAGTCTGAGGTGAATTTTGAAAATTAAAAAAGTATGTAATAATACTAAAATTGAAGGTAGCGTAATTTATATTTTGTATTATTTTCCCAGAAGTGTAATAATTTTAAAATAAAAGTTAGCATGTTACAACCATTGAGCATAGGCTAGCTTATTATTTTCACAACTCTTTCATCACTTAATTATTGAACAAATGTAAGCATCGAACAAAGCTTACTGGCATCCATTATTCAATTGGTGTTCAGTCTGTGTAGAAGGATAAGATAAGTGGTGAGGAGAGAAGAAATTGGTGCAACAACAAAAACTTTGGTGTGTAGCTTCATCTTCAAAGGCAAGAATTAAAAGCAACAACAGGGCGTGCAAAGGTATTTGAATTCAAGGAAAATGCAATATTCCAGGAGGCACCTCATCTACTGAACCACACAATTGCCTACAACAGATCAACAATATCATCCCTCAAAACCTAACAGCTTCACACTCTTGATACAGACCATTACCAATTACCATTGCCAACAAGATAAAATGAAGTTCTTTGATTTCCATCCAAGTAACCTAAGGGAGACACCCTTCTCTGACACGTCCAGTTTGCATCAACTCTTTTCTGGTTGTGAGAGAGAGAGAGAAAGAGAGATAACAACATAGATCTCAGATATTGCTTTTCCACTCTCAGATCAGAATTTCAGACAGATTATTTTACATATCAATGAACCCTTTCCCACCAAGACAGAAAAAATTGCTTTATGTATGGTGAAAGTATAAGAGAGAATTGAAACCAGAAAAAAAAAAAAAAAACAAGGCATTCTATGAAGGAGCAGCAGGATTACATTAAAAACAATCATACATCAGAGTCAGATTTCTCCTCCTTTGGTGCTGCATATTGCCTGGTGAGACGGGATCGTGTCCACGGATCAAGAGGAGCTCTCGGTGGTGGTTGAGAAGTTGGTGGCTTTGACTGCCTCAGCTCATTTTCTCTGTCAATAAACCTGTTTCAGCATATAAAAAAATAATTAATCAAAATAGGTCGATTTCAATATCCTCCAACCCAAGCAACCAACATGGCTTGATGGTTTGAAGTTTATACTTCAAAGTCGCGTGGTTGCATATGACAAAACCATAAGATAACTAGAACGAAGACATCAAAAGCATTAAATGACAAACAAGTAATGAGTTATATAATTCAAGACTTACTCAATGTAAGCCATTGGTGCAGCGTCCCCCACTCGAATCCGAGTCCGAAGCACTCTAGTGTATCCACCTGCTCTATCCCTGATAAACATAATTTCTGTTGTATTATAAATTAACATTCATAAATTGACCACTAAAATCATGTCCCTTTCAACGCTCACTTGTATCGGTAAGCCAGTTCTGTAAACAGCTTGTGAAGAACATCATCTCCACGCACAAAGCTGGCTGCACGCCTTGCAGCACACAGGGTACCCTGCAACATTTTAAGTTGGGGCCAATACCTAAGCTCAAGAGGTCAAAGTAAATGTGATAAATTAAATAAAAATAAGTATTCTGCAATCATCTTCAGTATCAATATCACAGTGAAAGATATCAACAGTCATCTGATTCTCATAAAGTATAATGACAAATACACATTAGACTGGCTATTAATATCCTCCGTATGATCTCTTAATTTCTTTGGAAGCATGCAGAGTCAAGGAAGACACTTTCACTGAACTTTGCAACCTCAAAGAGCCAAAAAAAAAAAAAACAACAAAACAAAACAAAACAACGCAACCTATTAGAAGTGAATGGAATTAAGTGACGAACAAAATTTCTAAATTCAAGCACTAATACGTACATCTTTGAACACAGTCATTAAAGAAATAGTTGAATTCATGCTAGAAATTTAGAGAACCTTGAGCTTATCAAAGTTTAAGGTGAGAAGCAAGGTTTCCGAACATTGCTAACACGCATAATACACGGATAGGCACATAATTCTTCGTAGAAAATAATATATTACGTTAAGAAAAAATACCAATAGCAATGATGAATTAATTATTTCTCGTCCATGAACCATTACTATGACTATTCGAACTAAATTGTACTCTATTCCTGTCCTTTCCAGCTCCCAAAGGATCCCCATACACATACATCAAGGCTTTATATTGCATAAACAAGGAGTTACAACTTACAAACCTCTTTCCCGAGCTGGACCATGTTATCTGCAAGTCTGCGGACCTCTTTAGCCTACAAAAGAAATGCAAACAATCATATATGCAATATTTCGCGCCAGAAAATTGAAACGTTGACACTGAATTTCTACTGCTATCATCCAATCTGATTTGGTTATTGTAAAGAGAAGGACAGATAATATATCTCAGTAAAAAATAGTAATTTGCCAAAACATGTTCTAATCATAACAAGCAAATACTGTATTAACACAAATAGAGCTATAACTATCCCAAATAAAAAATGCGCAGAAGCATTTGATGAAATGAATCAGACTATTAACGCCAGAAATCGAGCAATAACAAGATTTTGAATTTAAATCCCAAAACATGGGAAAGTGGGGAGGGAAGGAATTACCTTGGCAACAGTGGTTTCGATACGCTCGTGCTTCACCAACTGCGACACCATTGTTCTAGATAAGGACAAATGAATTGCTTTCAATTTAGAAAATGTTCAGATAAAGTTAGATCAATAAGAAATCGATCTTTGAACTGGACTAACAACCTGAGCATAGACATTCGATGACCCGTAGGTCGACCAAGCTTCCTGAACTTCGTCATTTTTCAGTTGAAACGAAGTAATTGAGGGAGAAGATTGAAATGAAAACCCCACAGACTTCAGTGTTGGACGAGCTGAAGACGAAGCAAGGGTTTTAGGGTTATGGGTGAAAAAAGATTGGGCTTTTGTTTGATTTTGCTTTGCTTCTACAGCCCAATATTAACTCAGCATCTTTGTTGGGCCGATCTTTTTTATGTGGGCCTAGTGCAGCTAGCTTCCTTTTAAAATTGACCAAAACAATTGACCCGAACAAAAAGAGGGAAAAGCCGAATATTTTTTAAATAATCAAAATGTTTTGACCAAATAAATACAATTTTATTAATATATTTATATCATTAAAAATTATTATTAATACTTATAATTGAGTAATATTGAGAAGAAATTCAATATAAAGAGAAAAAATAGAACGAGACAAGTCTTACTGTAAATGTAAAATATACTTAATGGTATTAAATACAAACTAATTACTACTGAATGTTAATTCAAAATATAAAAAATATTGTGAATATAAATATTTTTATAATTAAATGAGCATGATTTTCCCTTGTGAATTACAGAGAAGGCTTAGATTCTTATTTAAATCTTCAAGCCTGTGAATAAAAAATTGAAATAGTAACATTTTTACTCAGGTTCATATTCTTCATTCACTTAATATCCAATCATGAGAAATTTTTTCAAAGAATTTAACAATTATTTTTTCAAATTTAAAGATTCATTTTATTGATTTTAAATTTAATTGAAAAATAAATTGTTTATATATATTGCCAGATTTTATATATATAGATGGATATTATACCAACTATACCTATTAATTACTTAATTTAAAATGTTAAAAATTGTGGATAAATGACACAATCAATGAAACATATGAACACAAAAAAGCTATATCGATCAACATGAAAAAAAAAAAAGGTAAGAGTAATGATGCTATTGATTAAGTTACAAAGATTTACTTTGGATGGATTCGATGGAACAATAAAAAGATATCGATGATATATAGATGGTAGTAATTAACAATTATTAATTGAGATATGGTTTAAGTGGAGTGGAATATAGATGGATGTGTGAAAAGCAAAAAGAGAAAGAAATGCGTGAAATTGTGAGAGTGAGCCAAGCAAGACTGGTGATGGATTATGATGAGTACGTACTGATGAAGATGATTAATGATGAAGCCACCTGTTTTGGCATTTGGCCACTGGTTTTTAGCCTTGACAACGTTGGTCGTGTTTATCCCTTGCTTCTTCTTCTGCCTTCATTATTTTTAATTCCTTCACGTCACCTTCTTTTCCACACAACACAATAATATATAATCGTATTAAATTGTTCATGTCATTATTCTCTCTCAGACTCTCTAATCAATCATTGACCATAGCTTCCCTTTGTGGGGCTCGTAAAAGTCTTTAGGATAACATATATATAGACAGAACACACAGATAATTCACCAAATGACAAAAGAATATAATTAAACTTAGCAGATAGCTACGTTCCTTTACTAAGCAGCTGTATGTTTCTGTGTGTTTCAGCTCTTTTAATTACTTATTAGCTTCTATCATTTTACTTTGATTACTGTAATATTTCTACTTCTATTCCTTCATGATAAGAACACACTCTTGTCGGTTACAATTCAAACAAGTTAGCCAATCATGTATCATTTATAATGCACATTGCCTCCTCATCATGTTATAGATTAACACATATACAAAGTGCTAAAACGAAAGTAAAAAATGATCATTGTGATCCTATTTGTCATATCAAATCACCTAACAAATTTTTCATCATATTTTTTTCTCTAGTGAGGCATAAAAAATATAATCCGTTGAGGTGCATTGAGGTCAAAATATAAGCATAGTAATCACTACTAAGGGTAAAAGGGTAATTTCTCTCAAACAGTGAGGGTGCAAGAGCTATGATTTGAATTTCCTAACTATTTGCCTAACTGATAAGAGTTTCCATCACTTACATTAACATGAATAAATCATCATATTTTTAAAAAGAATCAGTATCAGTTTTATGCATATTATATTGTCTAAGAAAAAATTACAATATTCATGGCTCATGAAACCTAAGCAACCTTCCTTCTTTTTTCTTTCTATTGCACTTTTATCGATATAGAAAATGGAATTTAAAAAATATTTTTTTAGTGATACAAGGAGCATCTTTCATCTCCCAATTTAGTTATTCATACATCAAGGTTGTGATTCAAACCTACGAACTACATGTTTAAGTAACAAGAGCTGCATGAAATAATTATGCTCTTGGGCTGGGAAAATGTGGACTGGGAATTTATATACCAAAAAAGGTGCTGCAAAATGCAAACACAATTATTTTCCTAACTGATAACAACTTCTACCGTTTATTTCAACTTAAATCGGTCATCATATTTTAACAAAAATCAATACGTGTCTTATGCATATCATATCCTAAGAAAGCCAATAGACACACGCATAATCATTTCATGTGACTCTGCCCAAAAGTATTATTAAAGAGAATGGCCTGGAGAGTTCTAGAAGAGGGTGGAAAAAAAACAATAATACTTTAAATAATTGAGGATTCATCTTTACACAACTATAAATTTATAGATACATGTTCAGTTGCCCTTTTCTTCCTCAAGCCCTCACTATCATTCTCCCACGCATTATTATTTCATCTTAAGGCTCATCCACAGATTCATAGACGCAAGCTCTTCTAACAAATATAACAAATTTCGGTGCAAGAAAGCAAAGTTAAGATCCACAGAATCTTGCTTTTTTAGAGAGTTGATTTCAATTTTCTTTTCTTTTTAATTTAAAACGTGCCAGAACCAGAGTCTTCAACTTTCAACATGCAATGAAGACGAATCTCTGAGTTTTTGTTTTTTTTTTTTTTTGGTCTTCTAAAGATAAACCTTTTTTTTTCTTGTTTTATTCTTTCGAGAGTTTGGAAGTTTAATTTTGCTTTGACAACTGAACAATATTACCATCCCAATGAGACATAGTAACTTTTATTTTGGAATATAAACAAAACTTCCAGAGTTATAATGTCTAGAGACAAAATTGATTGCACTCTACAAGAAACAAGAGGAATTTCCAAACTCAGACCCCAAAGCTGAAGCTTTAATAACCCTGCAATTAGACGTTGCAACAATTCAAGCTCATGTTGGAGAATTGACAAGACAAGGCAGAACCAGCAGAAGCCATATCCATTTTCTTAGGCTTCACCATTGGAGGGACCCACTTGCCAGTTTCATCACCACAACCACTTTGATCTCTTGCTACTCTATAATCCTTTCTTGGATTCTCAGTCTCTTTGTGACACCCAGAAAGCCATTTTGATTGCATGTAACCATTTGTTCTCCATGGAGGAACATGAAGACCTTTCTGTCTAAGGGACTGTTTGGCTGCAGAACACAACAAGGAGATTATCTTACACAACCTGTCTTCATTTCCAACAAATATTACTGGCACTGAATCTATCATTTCTCTGTAGTCTTGTGTAGGCCTTGCTAGTTCAAACTGAGACCTGAAGTCTATGTCTACTATTAGCCTCTCTCTTCTACCATTCTCATCTTCATTTATCACTTCAATAAACTCATATTCACCTGTTACACAACAGCAACAACAAAGTTTAAAAAGCTGAGATTTTTGTGGAAGGAACCGATCAAGTTAGCAGCAAGTTCAGATTTTGAATGTTTGACTAGAACTAAGGAGCCAATAATTGATGGCCCAGATCAGCAGAGGGACAAGACAAGGGTGTTTTTTTTTTTTTTTGTGTCTGTCCTCAGGAGAGAGAAAGCTAAGGAAGATGAAGGAAGAAACACCAACCAGCTGGACAGCCTAAGGAAGTGGACCAGGATGTTTGGCACAGAGAAGCATGAAGGCCATCGATTTTGAGGTTCTTGACAAGCCACTTCCTCAGACTTGAGGTTCTCTTAGTGTCTCTTCTTCCCTTCATATGCTTCAACACATGCCTCAGAACCATAGCCTCGGACGATGTCTCGCTCCTGAGAACATCCTGAATTCACAAAATCAGCAACAAATCAGAGACACACCACAAGACACATGCAGGACAGAAACTCAACCCTCAGAAATCATAGAGAAGAACCTGCAGAAGAAAATACTGGGTTTGATGGTTCAACGCGAGACAGTTCGAGGAAGAAGAAATTGCGGGGGAGGGAGATTCAGACTCAATGAAATCTCGTACCATCCGAACCAGCTCGTCCTCCTCTAAGCTACCCATCACTGTTCTTTTTTAAGAACAAGAAGAAATGACAAGAGCAGTCTGAGGTCGTGGAAAGGCTCGTCTTTTATACATGAGAAGAGGGGTTGGATATGGCGGTGGAAATTGAAATTAACAGTTAAATACAGCGAGTGGCGACAGATGAGGACATGATAAGATAATTGAACAGGATCAGTAAAAAAAAAAAAATTTACTCGCAGTGAAGGGTTACAATTAGGTACAGTGAGAGGAATATGCTCATTCTTTCTGGTTGCTTCAATTAAAAATGACAGAAAAAGGAATATCCAAAAAATTCCAGGAGCTACACTGTAAGATACAGTCTTTTATGTTTGGTATGTGCGTGTGTAAGAGTGAAACAGATAAGGAGGATCTACAGTACGTTATGATTTTGAACACGGAATCAAGAGGGAATATATATATATATATATAATAACTACACTGAATCTGGGTTGGTGAAAATAATAAATAAAATTCAAAAAATAAAACAAAGATAGAAATAAAGAATGAAAAGAATCGTTTTTTGTACGTCAATGAAAAGAAACGTTTGAGAGCAATGTTGGGTTGGGCATGAATTCATGTTTGCATGTGTGAGTCTTGATTTATCATGTAAAACAAACTATTGACTCAGAAGGGAAAGTGTGCACCAAAAATTAGAATGAATGACCAAACTGATCCCTTCACACTTGGAAAGGTGGGTGGGAATGGCTTTTTTTTTTTTCTTTGCCATTAAATTGAATTTTGATGATTTATATTTGATAATTTTAAAAAATATAAATTAAGACGTTAGTACTGAAATTTGACGTAATTGATTCAGAATTGGAGCGATGAAAAATAAAAAGGGTCCAAAATGTGAACATATATTACTTTCCTGATTTTGGTGATATGGAGTGTGTGTGCCTGTTGTCTGGTATTTTTATTTATTAAGTTAAAACTATGAGCTTGTGACAGTTGGGAATTAAATAAATATTAAAATAATGACGATTGCTTGATGCGTATGCCAGATGGAAAATCAAGAAATGACTTGGTGGATCTTTGATGATGTCCTCGTATCGTAAGAGACAATCCTTTTGGGCTGAGACTTTTTCTTCATGTAAGAATAGTGGAAAACAGGAACGCAAAAAAAAAATAAAGAAAGAAAAAGAAATAACAGAAGTGAAGAGAAAAAAATGAAATAGAGAGAATTATTTTAAAATTTTTCTCAATACAATTAATTACACTCAAATTTATTAACAATTGAGCTTAAAAGAATTGACTTGGATGCAATTCTTCCAATGAAATATCACCGGGTACTTAGATCAATTGGTAAGGAGGTTAATTCAGTTTAATAAGATATTTTGAAATTTAAACTCTAGACATGTAATAATGATTAAATTATAAATGAAAACTATGCCTCCAAAGAGTTGCCTTTAAGTGCTAACCAAATTAATTTAAACCAAAAACTTAAAATATCAGAGCTCGTTAAAAAAAAAAAAAACAGAGAGAGAGAGATGAAATAAAATGAACTGTATCCATAGCAAGCAACTGGGAGAGAATCAACTCATCACCTTTTACAGGCACCACCATTAGACGATTAGAGGTGGTCTGTTTTTATTTTCGTTATTCGATCTCATGTTGTGTTTTCACATTCTTTTGAATAAGTATATATGTTCGTATTCCAAAAAAAAAAATCTTATGTGTTCCATATGGCAATAATTTATAAGCATTTTTAATTAATTAATTATTTTTATTTTCAATTCACACAAAGACAAATCAAGTAAACACTAAAATAATAATTTAGAGCGGCACATGGATAAAATCAGGTCAAGCATTATTCCTACTTGTGCCCGACCCGAGGTGCAATTTGGGCCATCTCGATGTTCGAGTGTTTGGCTTAGGTTTAACCCAGCTGACTAAAAAAAATTCTACAAATATTTTTTAAAATATATAAAAAATTTCTTGAAAAAATATTATTATTATCATTTAAAATATATTCTTCATAAAATTAATATTAGAATTAAAAGGAATTTTATTAAAAGTATATATGAACAACAATTGTCAAGCCTGCTTATTTTAGGTTATTTTGTAAAAAAAAATAATTTATTTTTTGAAAAAAATTATTTTGTAAGTTTTTATTATATTTGTTTAGGCTTTAAAAAATAATCAAAAACTGAAAAAAAAACCAGAATTTTGATTATTTTACGAGACTACTTTGAATAACTTTTAAAAATAATCTAACATGATAGATGAGAAAAAAATATTTTTAAAAAGTGGGATACATGAAGATATCATAAAATATTAAAATAATTAAATAATAAATTATTTTACAATACAATAATCAAGGAAGATGTCACAAAATTTAAAAATAATTAATTAATAATCACTTTTTTATTATTGTAACCAAACTTAAAATAAGTCTTCTTTTTATAAAATATTTGCAAAATAAATTTCCTATTACAAAATCTCTAAACTATGCAAAAATTATGTATTTTTTAATTTTAAAAAAATAGGCCTTCAATTATTTTTACACAATATTAAGTTGAAAATAAAGTTTAAATTTTGGAAGAGATTTAAAAAATTACAATGATAAAAAAGTCCAAAAGATCATAAAAATAGTATAGTTCATAATAACTTTTTTAAAAATAATACTATAAAATAAATATTATTCACAAAAAATTTTCAAAAATAAAAAATAACACATGTTTAAGCCAGGCTAGGTGGAGTTTGACTCTACCCAATGCTTGCTCGATGTACCCAAATACCTTAGATAGGGTTAGGTTGATCGAGCATTCAGGCATAATGCACAACCCTAAATAATATTTAAAAATACTTTGTCACATATCTCCCAACAAATTTTTACAAATGGGTGGTCCATCATAAATGAGGGAAGGGGGGAAAAAAGAAATACGTATAAAGGCAACAAGGTATTGTGCATCATCTGGCACTATTGTTTCCTTCCTTTATAAATGGGCCTAACTATGAAAAAACTATGTGCCGAAGAGAATGCTTTTTTCTGGGTCCAGTTGAAAAGAGACTTTCTTTGTGGCAATCAGACCTCTTGCCTAATGAACAAGAAAGCCAGCTTTTCCTTTTCTTTTTGAGGAAATGATAATAAAATCTTTTAAAATATATAAATAATAATTTAATTCTTTAAAATGTTATAACTTCACTGAAATTATTAAGAACTTTTCTATCAATAATAAATTTATACAAATGATTAAATTGTCTTTGTTAAAAATAAAACGATTCACAAGTTTTATTTAGATAATCACAATTTTTTTATATTAGCAATAATGTAATAACAAATTAAAAATTTAGCATACAAAGTTATAATTTATTATTACATTATTATGAATATAAGAAAAAAAGTTGTGATTATATAAACAAAATTTGTGAATCGTTTTATTTTTAACAAGGATAATTAGGTCATTTATATAAATTTATTAATGACAGAAAAACTTCTAAAAACTTCAGTGAAATTATGATATTTTAAAAGATTAAATTATTATTTATATAATTCAAAAGGATTTTATTATCATTTTTCCTTTCTTTTTCCCCCCTAATTTTTTGCATGGAACACCCATAATTTTAGGCAAGTCCTACATCAACTATGGGATTTTAATGGGAACCAAGCTCATTTGAATAGAGTTGCGATGAGGTTTGTTTAGGTGAAAGCTCTGCCACTAACGTTTTTGCATTTTATAAAACTCAAACTCGAAACTTTTAATTAAATAAATACAATTCTTTTACCAGCTAAACCATCTAATTAAATCTTGCTTGTATACTTTTTTAGAATTGGGGATATTGTTTTACTTTGTACTAAACACTAAGAATATGTCTGGTTTAATGTTATAAATCATTAAAACCATCATTTTAGTAGTTCCCATTTCCCAATGTGAAACTGAACAAGCACTAATTTTTTAGGGAAAGAGGGAAGAACCATGAATCTTTTGGGAGCTAAAAATGTAGTTTCATCACATTCACCATGAGAAACGCCTAGTGTTGTGGAAAGGTTCCCAGATTGAAAGTGAGAAATTGTGTGGCTGTGAGAGACAACACAACAAAATTACCGGATCATATCAGAGTGGAAAGATGATTCTGATATCCGTGTTGCTGTAGTTGGTTTATCTTGTGAAGTGGGATATGCCTTGAACAGTGATAGACACTTGTCCTTACATGAATTGGATCCTTAAAACTAGTGTTAATACTGTTACTGAGTTTTAATGGCACTCTGGCCATAGCTAGCGATTGAAAGTTGGATTTGCTGACGATGCATATAAAGCAGTTTCCACTTTCTGTGAGAAACATGGGAATGGTTGGAATTTGGAAACATGTCAAAGAGAAGATAATATAAATTAATGACAGGTAAAAACTTTGATTTAAAGGATTTTATAGTTAAGCTAGCACTTATATTTTTCAAGATTATCACTCTCTTACTTCTTAAACTGTAGCGATATGCCTAGGTAAACCAGAATAGTATAGCATTATAATACCCCAAAAAAGAAAAAAGAAAAACAGATGAGGAGAAATAGCATCAGCCTATTCACAAGAATCCCTATCTGAGAACTCTTTTTTTTAAAAAAAAAAAAAACTCATATTAAAACCCTAACTTCCAAGTTGAGATAACCAAAAAAGCATCTTATCTTCCATCAGAGTAAGAAACTTAAAATCATCATTTATTTTCCAAAATTCAGGGAAGTGAGAACAAAGCTAAGCACGCCTCATGCTGCTTTTTCTTTTCTTCGGGGAGGGGGGTGGGGAGAGGACCCACCTCATGTTGAATTCCAGGCCAATTTGAAGGGATCTCAGTGCACAAAGGATATGATATACTGTGCCAAGAGTAACGAGGTTAGAGCTGTACAAATGGGTTGCAGATCAATTTATAAATTAACTCACACATGTTAGCGTTTTAGCATATTAGGTTGGATTAATCCATCAAGATAAACGGGCTAGAAAAACCTAACCTAACCCGCACATTAGCGGGTTAGTGAGCCCGCAGGCCAACCAGCAAAATACAATTTTATTTTTTAAAATAATTTAAAATGTATAATCAATATATCATATATGTAGACAATGGTTTTTTTATTTTTTTAAAATAAAATTTAAATATAAATTCATATTATTTCTCTCAACAAATTTATATTTCTGATTTTAATCAATAAATCTTATGAAATTAACAAATAATCTATATTTAAAATATTTTTATAAAAACTAATAAATAATTGATTTACAAACTATAACAAAAATTTCATTTACAAATTATAAAAAAGATTTACATTATTTTTTAAATGTAAAGAACCTATTTGGAACTCATAAATTATAAATTTAAAAAATATTGTCATTGTTGTAGATTTATAAAAAGATATATTATAATTAAAAAAATAAATTATTTTTTAAAAAATAGGTTAGCCCATTTAGCCTGTGGGTTAGCCAGTTTTAACCTATCATTTTTGTAGGTTGGGCTAACCCAACCCGATTTAAAAAATGAGCCAATTCTTTCAAGCCAATCCATTAAAATTGGTGGATTGAATGGACTAGCCCACGAGTTCAACTTGTTTTTCTGACTCTAAATGAAGTCATATGGCTTTTATTATATAAAGAATGACAGTTTAATTCTAAAATATTGATTAATGATAGTTTAGTTTCAAACAAAATATTTGAAATTATGAGCTGAAAATATTAATTCAAATAATTATAAATTCAAAAATTTTAATTATAAATAAAACATTTAAAATTTAAATATAGCTCTTATGTTATAACTAAGATTTTTGTTTATAATTGTGCAAATTAATATTTACAAGTCATTTTTTTCAAAATTTTTGTTAACACTTGACTGGCTTTATCCTTTATTATCTTATAATTTAGTAGTGTGCTTGCATGTACTCTGAAGTCCATGATATAATTAAATAAACAAATTCATTATTCATATGACTTTTACACAAACAAGATATCTGATTGCAAGCAGTCGTTCCATCCCAAAGCCCGGCTATAAATACACAGGTTTAATAGACACGTGTCAGGTAAATTATTTTTTCCCCTTCTTAATTTGAATGCAAGGAATATACACACAAAAAGAAACTGATATGCATTTTCAAGTAATTCCATATCCCTTAATTCTCATGGTATATGTTGGCATTAATTGCTGAATAGATCATTATCACATTTAAAATCAGTATAAATAAACTATAATTAATTGCATCATATGAAAAGGAACAAAGGTCAGAGTGCTTTACCTTAAAAGCCTTATATGTTAATCTTTCTCATGCATCTCAACTGTAATTCAAAAACATGTATACCTTAGATCATATACTGAAACTTGCCTCAAAGGAGAAAATTTGCAGGGCACCCAATTAATGTCTCAGACACGTAAGTGGACCATCTCTATGAAAAAAAATACATCTAACTGCCAATGGGATCAAATGGAGGGGAAAAAAATCATTGAATCTTTGGGAACAATAAGTCAGGGTTTTCAGGGGGGAAAAATGAAACTCTATTTCATGAGGATCCAAAATTGCATCCCAGTTCTATAAAAATTGTTAAGAGTTATTTACGGTTACTCAGACAAAATGATGAGTAGGGTATTCATGCTCATAACCGTTATAATCATAATAAAGCCTCTCCCCTTCTGAAATATCACGAGTAGCAACCAAAAAGACCCTGCATTCACCATTAACATTGTACCTCACACATTTACAGTTCTGCTTCTTTCTACCTTCCCTGCACAAAATTGGATTTATTTTAAGCATAGTTAGCCTATAATTAGGGAAAAAAAATTGTACATATTTATTTTAAGAAGAAGAAGAAGAAAAGAAGGGAAAAAAAAACACCTGCATTTTACAAAGAAACAACCCAAAAAGCTGGGTATTACAAGACATTGAGTTATTTACAAGGAACGCAAGAGCAATACAGGTTTTGCAGTAAAATACAGGAAGCATAATCTAATTTTCTTTTTATGAGACTTCAGCATAAGTGAGGCAGGCTTACTGTGTATGATTGTTGATGCCACTTATAAAGCGAGCAATGTTTCCACGTTTATCAGGGCAGATTACAAGACTTTTAGAAGGATCAGTTGCTAATAAAAGGGTCATCAGACTGTCACAGTCGTCATGTTCTCGGTTCTTAATGTAATCCACATCGCCTGTGTATTCAGCAATGAACGTCATATCCTTTATTGAGCCATCTGCCTCTACTGTATACCTACATCACAAGATCAATACAACCACACTCAATATAAACGTTCAAGTATTGATTGCCAGATCTATTAGAATTCAAGATAGATACCCTTCACATGAATCATAAACAACCATAAGGGGAGGGCATTGTCCTCTTCTACACATTGCTCTGCAGTGTTCCAAGGTCTCAATATCTTCCCTGGAAAGAACCTGAGAAGGAAAAGAATCCTTAATCAAACTAGCTCAAAATGATGGATACATCTTTAATTAAACTAGCTCAAAATGATGGAAACATCTAAACCAATGAGCCTTTTTGTTTGTGGCTCATTTTTAAGGAAATTGAAACAATGAGAGAAGTAATTAGCAGAAACCTGCATGCCACCATCTTCAAAATCGGCATGATTAGCAGACCTAGGAGCCATTTCATGCGAGTATGTGAGATCATCACTGAATTCCATATGCAATGCTGTTAAAGCAGCAGCAAGAGAACCCATCTGTTTCAGTCTCTGGCAAGGATTTTCTGTAGGAATAAATGGCAATAATCTTCTTCGTTTCTTTTGCAATATCAGTGATGTACGCCTTTTACGCTTCTTGGCATCTAGAAACCCAGAAAGAATAATTTCTTCAAATTAGATATATTATTTTGACAACTCTCTAAAAAGTCAATGGCACAAAAGTATATAACCAAGAATAGATTTAAGCCAAAAGACTGGAGTTTATTTAAAACGTATTAGCCCTCGTTTGTCTTGATGAAGAATCCCCAATAATTTTCTCACTCTCCTTTCTTAAGTTCTTTTCCCCCCTGCATCACCCCCACTCTCTCCTCTCTCTCTCCCCCCCCTCATCTTTTTTTCTTTTTCTTTTTCTTTTTTTAACATTAGATGATAATAGAAAGTGTTACCTGCCCTTCTACAACCCCACATTTTACTGGTGAAAACAATTAGAAAATAAGGAAAATTTAGGACGCCTTAATTTTTTCCCCCCAATAAGTCAATATATTTGATGGAGACTTAGTAGTATGGAATACCAAGTTTCACATTGAATAGCATAAGATACTATATAGGGTATCTAAGTGGGTTAATTTTCCTACCTCAATACCTAGCTTTAGGGGTAAAGTTCTTCATCTCACTTAGGTATCCATCAATTGGTATCAAAGTCTAGCTGTTAGCAGTTCTGGAGAAAGCTACCCATGGATGGTTCTAATCAGTAGGAAGACATATGTCATGGAATGCAGCTGCTAGGATGTCAGTTTTTCTTGGATGGCCAACTAATGGAGATTTGGCCGTATGAGATACCAAGTTTCAGTAGTATGAAATGCTCAATGGAGCATTCAAATGGATCGATTCTCTCATCTCAACAATTAGCTTCTAAGGTAGGGTTCCTCATCCCACTTAATTACCCATCAATCTTTCACTAAAAATAAATAAATATCTATGGATATCATTATAGTGACTCAATTTGTTGCCAATCACACACCCCTTTTACTCACTATATCCACATTGATGTCCAACTTTCTTTTCTAATAACCAATCCTTCACTTAAATTGTGAAACCATAAACATGTGATTCAAATTTTAGACATTCCTTGCAAAAGACTTACTAAAACGATAAGAAATTTCTATCAACATGGAATGTTGATTCCTTCTGATATATCAATTAGACATGTCACTCAACTCATATTTCTCTATCATCTCATGCTACTTGAGATGAAAGATCATTTTAATGGAACAATGGAAAGGATAGGAGAAAGGAAAGCATAAAAGACAAAATCATTTACTTATAAAATGTAGATTATATTATTTTTATCATTACTCAACATTGTCAGTTCCTGACAATTAGATTTTTTTTAAGAACAACATGAGTATCTTAGAAACACTAATTATTGAAAATACAATTGACCAAACTGATCATATAACTGTAAGTGCTAGGGTGGTGGTTCACATAAATTTTAAATGAAATGGAGCATCAGTCATGAGGTCAAGGGAATTTAGTTACAAGTCCAATCGCACATTTTCAAGCAAATATATGTGCTGAACATGCATATGCATATGAGCATATCCCTTGCCCTTGAATTTACATGGAATTTGCATATACCCAATCTCACGTTGAGTAGATCATCATGTTTCCTGTTTAAGAAGTTCTTGAAGAATAAGCTAGCATGCCATTGACTGCTGGAAGTTTTCTATTCAATTTCCCTTCTTTACCTTAAAATGCCTTCTTTAAAATGTGGACAGAACTTGTTGGATAATAGCTATAAACGTATGATAGACATTGCAAAGGAGAAGAAAAGGAAATATCTTTCCTCCCATATGCCAAACGAATAGCAAACTATAGAATGAGATTTCAAAGAGAATAAGACAAATTGCAGAAAATTTGAAAGCTTGTAATATGTAACTTGGCAATGTCTCACAGACTATATTTTAGATTGCTAGGCCAACAGAAAGTAAGAGATGATGATCATTTCTAGAAATCCCGATTGCTAGATGCAATTTTAAAACCACTTTCACGACAACTCTGTATTCGAATGGAAACTTGAGTCAGTAACCGTTCATTCAACTCAGAACTCCATTAACTGCAGATAGCATGCTTTAATTAGGTATCTAATCATATCGACCACTAGAGGTATGTTAACACCAAATTGGTCCATTTGGCAACCTAATCATTGAGATGCTCTTTAGCAAATCAAGCTAAATTATTATGGCATTGGGAAGAAACAGCAATAGCCTTTATTTCCCACACAATTGAGAAGAAAACACATCATTATTGCGGTCACTCATACCAAAAGATCCCACAGAATACCAAGCCGTCAATCAAACTGGCAGAATGCACTTACAAGAAGGTTAGTACAAACATTGAATGATTATATGTGTGATATGATATGTATTTTTTTCCAAATAATTTCTTGCTGCGGATGCTAATTGCTGAATAAACCAATTCGACCCAACATTACTTCAGGATAACCAAATAATGATTGAGCTGCATTTATATTTGTCAACAATTACCCCCGAGTGTGTGTTTTAGAAATGAATAAATCGATAGCAATGGTGGTGATGAATGTCTGAAATTTTACACATTACCTTGGGGAGAAGAGCACTTGTTTTTAAGATCAGCACATTTCTGAATCCGGAAAAAATCAATTATCTTCTTCTGAGAAAAACCTAAAATTGAAAAGAAACGCAGGGACATTGCCACATTTATCGACTCCCAAGGCAAACGGTTTTAGCAGGCATGCTTCCTGCGGCAGCAAAAGGAAAAGCAAAACAAAAACCAACCAAAAAAAAATCCCTACTTCTTACTCTCTTCTCCCCCGAACACTTAGGGCAAAGCCATGATCCAATAGGAACTCTCACAACAATGGGCCTCACGCATTTCATATGGAAGCCTTTATCGCATTTGTCACACAAAAGCAGCTCGTCCGGGCGTTCACCAGAGCCGCATTGATCACACAACACGTCACTGTAATCATCCCTCTCAACGACAGCATACCGTGCCTTGGCCATTATCTCGGCCAATGACTTATACTTCTTGACCGGAGGCGAGGCCGGCGGCGACGGCGACTGGCGCGGGGCTTGTGTGCGGCGGCTGAAGCCGATGAGCCTCTGAGCCGCCGCCGCCGAGGAGTTGGCCGGAGCCATACGGTAGGGACAGATAGGGAATTTAGGGAGTAGTGGAGGGCAGAATCGGAATCAAGGAGGCTCCCAGAGAGAGAGCTCTCTAGAGGAAGACGAAAATGGAGAAACGCTTTCTCATATTTGGTGCCTCTCTCTCGCGGGAGAGTGGCATTGACGAAAGAGGGTCAGTGCTACGGTGCGCTGAGGTGGACCCTTTTCATTGGATGTGCTAACGTGCACCCACCATGCGCACGGAATTTCATGCGTGCGCCACGCGCACTGTTGAGAGTCTCCTTCTCTGTTGTTATTATAGCCGTTCTAATTTTCACAAAGAGCAAATTGGCTCCTTCCTTAGAATGGTCCAACGTATCGTTTTGAAGTTGGTAATTTCCAGTTCCACCACGGCCAATTTTATATTATTAAAAATAAAAAAAACATTTGTGAGTAATGTCAATTTTTTTTTAACTGCAGTGACGTGAGAAAACAAATAAATATATGGGTCAAGTTCGTCGAATTCGTTTGTTTCCGTCAATACTTCTATTTTTGGTAAATACGTATTGGATATTAATTACTTGTATTTTTATAATTGATGAAAGTTTTATTTACTATCTTTCATGCAATCATTAGCTGTTTTCTTTCTTGATATAATTTTGAATATTTTGTCGTTAAATAATTACCACTTTGACGTGGCACACTTTTAGAATGTCACAAAACAAGGGTCCTGGCATTTTTACCATTTTTCCATGTATAAGACAGGGAGGGTTTACATTGGATTGTTATAAATTTTTGGATGAAACGATTCAACTAGCTTACTTTGAGATTTTGAATTTGTATAATGTAATATGCAATCACATTAAATAAAAATGTTAAAAGCATTATTGGTATACTCATAAGCCAATTATTGATAGTAACTGTCCCATATAACTGGGGTGGAATAAAGAAATAACCTTGGCTTCTCACTAATTAATCTTGTGCTTTTTCGTTTGTTTTTTCCTTTTATTTGGATTTGTATTGTTTTGTTTTTCCATGTAATATAAAAAACTAAATTTTTGGATGGATGAATTCAACATTTGATATGCAGGTTAATAGGTATAATATTTTAGTTTTGATCTGTTTGGAAATAAATATTAATTTAAGCTATATCTAGTCTTATTCAAAAAAAAAATAATCTCCATCAATAAAAAATGCAATATATTGTAATGATAATTCACTGTTTGCAATAAATTAAAATATAAATTATATTGTTATTTCATTTTTCTTAAAAGAAGTAGTCAAGAGAACTTGAATTCGGAATTTTTTTTTATGTGATATATTTTTCCTACAAAAATCTTATGTGATTATTCATTGATTATTTATGAAATTGCATTTTCTCAATGACCTCAAACTTAAATAATTAACATTCATAAATAACAAGTGAAGCTATTGTTTTAATAAATATTTAATTAGTCAATATTTTATAAAGACATTAAATTTTTTTAAGGATCTTTCATTGATATTATTTAATGTATGCATACATACACTAAAACCAGGCCTTTATGTTTTGCCAACAAGGTTAGGTCTTGTTTGGTTGTGGGATTCACCCTCTCCTTTTCCTTCTCTCTCTCTCTCTCTCTCTCTCTCTCTCTTTTTTCATTCTTATCACTGAAGGGATCCTTTCATCCACTCACAATTATTTATCCATGTTCCTTACTTTCACATAAAAGCAAGTTTTCATCTTATTGGCTTATCTTACAATCATTCACTTCTTAGTGTGTTTCTCTTTAACAACATGTGAGTGTCTAAGCAAACACTTTTATTGAACAATTCATATCTTTTGAAGCGTGATTCACTTACAATCAAAGAGAAATAAAGAAGAAAGTAAGTTATAACTCTACTGGTCAAAATAAACAAAACAAAAAACAAAAACAGCCCAGTTTTTTTATAGTTTATGGATATAATTCATTTTTATGCAACTTTTTCATATTCAATATTATCGGGTTAAATTTAACTACTGTTAAAATCAATCAAATATAATTAATCTCTCTCTCTTTTTTTTTTTCTTGTTGGCATAAGATTCAAACTACGATATGGACTTAAAAGGAAATTGAGTTCCTTTCACTTCACTCTCAATGGTTAGCTATTTTAAGTATTCTAACTTTAGTTTTAATTTATCTAATCTCATTTCCAATTAAATTATTTTAGGTGGCATTTGATTCGATGGATTTTATTTAAAATTCATGCATTTAAAATTTTTATTTAATATATAAAATTTTTTTAAATAAATAAAAAAGGTAAGTTGATATTCAAAATGAAAACAAATAATTGAAAGTGATAAACTTTCCTTTGTTTTTCAACTGTGAGAGACGATTTCTTTTTTGGTGGGAATGGCTCCATGAAAAATGAAAGAACCAGAGATGAATTGAAAAGTCGTATACTGTCTTTAATGCGTGGGCAACATTTTTTTAAAACTTAATTTGCCCCAACCTATTTCAATGTATAAGTGCTAGTTGAATTTATAGTAAATTTCTTTTAAAATAGAGTAAAGGCCCTCGAGTGTAACTTTCACTATCAAGGCTCAAGTTAAAATAATAATAAATTTTATAAATTGATAATTTAATTTTATCCTTGTACAACTGAAGACAAAAGTAATGAATTTTAATAGATAAATGTTCAAAATGAGTGATAGTAGGAAGTATTTATAGATATTGAAAACATATTGGAGCAGTATCTTTTAAGTAATAAAATTCTATTTAAAAGACTTAATCCTTTGTTGGTTCATAATTCTTTTGTTAGTTTATGAACAGCTTTATATTAATACATGAATAACTTTATGTGAGTTCATGAACAACCTAGTTTAATAATTAAAATTTAATTAAGGGTTATTATAATAATTTTCTATGAAAAGTAGCATCATTTCAATATGTAGAGCTTTTTTTGAAATACATTTTTTTTCATTAAGTGATACATTTTAATTTTATAATCCTTCAAATGTATCTTTAGAATTTAGAAAGACATGACATTGGTGACTATTGACCTATTTAGTAAATATTTTAGAAACAGTTTTTTGTTCTTCAAAAAAAAATTTATTTGATAATGTATTTTTAAAAAAGTGTTTTGAAGAATAAAAAATTAAAATATTTTGAAAAAAAATAAAAATGAAAATATTTTTTAAGTGTTTTGAGATTATTGTTTTGAAGAATAAAGAAGAATAAGAAAAATATTTATTTTTATTTTTTTCTCAGAATATATTGTACAAAATATCAGTTCTCATAACAATAAAAGAAAAATAATTTTAAAAAAATTCTAATTACATAACCTTTCATAAAAATTTCTTAATTTATAAATACATGACTTTTTAAAAAGATATAATGTTTCAAAAAAAATCAGTTCATTTTGAAAATATTTCTGAAAATATTCCAACAATCCATATGAGAGAAGATGTGAGAGTGGTGGAGAGGCACAATGGTAAAAGTGTAAAGTGAATGAGAATATTGAAGTGATTAAAATTTTCAATGATTACATTATAAAAAGAATTTAAAATTATAAATAAATAAATAATAATAGATGAATTTTGATTTAAATTAAATTTAAATTTATAACTTTTCATGCACCTAAATAAGAAATTTAGTTCAAATTCCAATTCTCATCAATACAAACGTAATATTAAAAAATTACCAAATTTAAATTAAATCATATGATGTATAAAAGAAAAATAACCATATCACCGGTCAACCAAGATAAAGTATTGGTTGAGTTTGTTACAAGTTAGATATAAATGGCCCCTCCAAAATTATAATTGAATCCTAAATTAGTAGAACTAAACGGCGAGAAACATGGTTTAGGTGAAGTTTACAAACATCTTATGGCCACAGGAAAGTGTCAGACTTGTTCAGCACTCCCAATTTTTAAACTATTGGGGGGGGTTTTTGGGGAATTCCAAAAATTCACTTGGACATCCAACTTCTGTGAAGCTAGTGTTTGGTTTTATTCTTCATATTCATCCATTCTTAATATCCTTTTGCCAAAAGTTATTCGGACAACTAAACCCTCCATTGGCAGAAAGTAACTTTCCCTTGCTTTTGCTTTTTAACTTTTGGATGTTGGCAAATTAATTAGAGGAGTAATTGTTTAACTACCATTTTTCTCATGCCACCCTTTATATCAAACTTTACTTTTTTATTTTAGTTTATTATTCAACGTATTAAATTTTCTATCATTCATGATTTTATATACATTCCAACAAATTAAATTTTACATTACTTATTTTTTTAAATTTTATTATTCAACTTATTAGGTTTCATATTATTCATAAATATGTTAAACTCTATATTATATATATATGTTATTCAACACATAAAAATTAATATTATATATATATATATTAATGATTATATATTTAAAAAAATTAATTATTTGATCTGTATAGTTTTGATTCAACTGTAACTCAGTTTTTAAATTTAAATTTATTGTAATTCAACCTTTAAAGTTTTGATTCTATTATGACTCAATTCTTAAATTTTAATTTAGTACAACTCAATTGCTATAATTTCAACCATTTAAAATATTCACTCCTATATTTTATAAAATAAAATTTATGGGTTAATATTTCAAATGATTAAATCTCTCACCTCTATATTTTTGAAAAAAATATGGGGATCAATATTTTAAATTACTAAAAATTTAGAGATTGAATTGCAATTGAATCAAAATTATAAAGATTGAGTTATAATAAATTAAATTATATTAAGTCAAAGTTTAAATATTCGACGGAAAGAGGTGCACGTTTTCTGTTCTGATTTTCTTTTGAATATGAATGCCTATGTTTGAATGACAATTGTATACAATTTAAAATACCCCCACCATCTCAAAATATAAGAATTTTTTTCAATCAATCTTAATTCAAAATATAAGCAGTCTATACATGTAAAAATCTTTTTTCATTTTATCTCTTGTATTTATTAACTCAAATCATTATGTAAATTTAACTCTCATTCATCATAAAGTATATTGATAATTAAAATTAAGAGTAAAAATTAAAAAAATTATATATTTTTATAAGAACAAGAATTTTATTACTATGAAACTTTTTTTAGAAGCTGTTGATATTTTGAATCCGAGGGGTATCTATCACGATCAAAAACTAAACCATTCAACCTAAAATTCAACACTTATATGACCATATTTATTTTGCCATCATAACGTCGGGAACACGGTTCAGTTCGATGTATCGTTCATTGCAC